GTATGCAGCGCAGGCAGTCATAACGGATAGAGGATAAAAACTATCCAGTATACATCAAATCGAATAAAAATAATAAGAGATAATGATATAATCACAGCAACAGCACATGAACCGACATCTCAATAGCATTACTCTTCTGGCTCTTGCACAATCCTCCCCCAGCCCAGAGAGTCCTGTATATACTTCATGTCTTTGAACTCTTGTCTCGGATTCTTTCTTAGACTCTTAGTAAATGAAAGCACTAGAGGGATAGAGTCACAAGGACAAATTACATATATTTCTATCTAAATCTATCTCTCTATCTATCTATCTCTTTATATTGTATTGTGCATGTGTAGTATTTTTCGGGGGTCTGAGTAGACATTGAGACACTTATGTATGTGTGTGTGTGAGAGAGAGAGAGAGAGAGAGAGAGAGAGAGAGAGAGAGAGAGAGAGAGAGAGAGAGAGAGAGAGAGATAAGCATACTGTTTGGATTTTATGTTTTCCTGTAATCATAAACTTTGCTTATCGTTTGATCTGAACATGAAGGCGTGCTGCGAATTCTTGACCAAAGAATTGACCCCTGAGAATTGCATTGGCATTCGAAAGTTTGCGCAGAGCTACTTTTGCAGCGGGTTGGAGCAAAAAGCACACTCCTATACGCTTGATAACTTCCACGCTGTCTTCACCACCAGTAATGAATTCCTGCAGCTGGATATTGATGAGGTAAGCTAAAGTCTTTTTCTGGGGAAAAATGCTGGGGTATTACTTCCCAATATCAAGTGTCCGTGTGTTTTTGTTGAGATGAATGTGTAGTTTTGGGTTGTTGTCTAAGTCTTTGTTACTCTCTTGTAACACCTCTAATCTTCTGCACGTATATTATAATCTAATAGTCTAATAGAGTTATAAGTACCGTGAATCTCTTACTAAAACATTGAACATACGTTTACCGGTTTGCCAATGTGCATTAACATTTTTTTATGTTTTTAGTGTGTGTGTGTGTGTGTGTGTGTGTGTGTGCGTGTGTGAGGTGTGTGTGTGTGAGAGAGAGTGAGAGAGAGTGAGAGAGTGAGTGAGAGAGAGAGAGAGAGAGAGAGAGAGAGAGAGAGAGAGAGAGAGAGAGAGAGAGAGAGAGAGAGAGAGAATGAGAACAACTGTGGCGGTAGTCTAGAGGTTGGTCAATCGGGCTCGTATTTGTCAAATTGTGAATTCGGAGGTTCGACCCTCTATTCGGTCATTGGGAAAAGCACTTTACACGCATTTTCTCATTTGCATCGGTCCTGGTATAGCTGCTCTTTTAAGAAGACTTTTACCAAAAGAAATATTTGATCCTAAATGAGATAAGAAAGTTATAATTACGTTTTATATCTTCCTGCCATGTTGCGCGAGTAGAAACAAAGATAGTAAATAACAAGATGGGCCACTCAGCCAAAAAAGTGTCCGAAGGAAGTTCGCTCTTTGCTTCAGATGGCGCTGCAGTCTGTTTTGAAGCTCTCTTTCGCTTTTCCAGAAGAGGAATAGGAATAGCACCTCCTTCGTGCGCAGATCGACTGCTGTTCGTCAGCAGTTCGGGTTCGTTCAGTGCGGAATTTTTGGGTTTTCAAAAATTTTAATGACCTCTCGCCTTTCATTCTAAAGTCAAATTAAACGAAGAAAACAATCACCCTTTCCTCCGGAAGAGGTTTTTTGTCAGCGTAACCATTTTAAAAAAGCGTTCTTCCGAAATTCATTCAAAAACTTGCTAGTTTCACTTTGATTTTTTAAAACTCAAGTAGGATAACTCTGTTTGCAAAAGGTGCGCTTTTGCGAAGAGGGCGCCACCGAATTTTGAGGACACTTTTTTAATTGGCTCAACGAGAGAAGTGGCCCCTCTTGTTATGTAGCCTCTTTGGTAGAAATAAAAGGGAGGGGGCGGGGTGTGGGGGGGGGGGGGATCTTTCTCTACTGGACCACACAACCGTTCAAATTTACAGCTGAGATACCGTTTTGAGGGATTTTCTGGAAAAAAAACCCAACTGAAACATTCTAATGAACTCTTCAGACATTCAATCAGATTTGTTAGTTACACGGGGCCATGTTAATACTCCAGTACCACGAAAGTTTAAAATACCATGTATCACATTATTTGCTTGTACAATATCATTGGAATTTGTAGTGAGTATTCGTAGCAACATATTGTTGTACAAGGTCTGTCCCAAAAGAAAGTTGTTTTGCTCTATAGGTCATTAAGCATAATGTACTTTCTCGTCAAATCATCTGATCTTATCATGGAAGAGAGAGAAAGAGAGAGAGAGAGAGAGAGAGAGAGAGAGAGAGAGAGAGAGAGAGAGAGAGAGAGAGAGAAAGAGAGAGAGAGAGAGAGGAGAGAGAGAGAGAGAGAGAGAGAGAGAGAGAGAGAGAGAGAGAGAGAGAGAGAGAGAGAGAGAGAGAAATGGCGGGCGTGTCAACTTTGAAGATTCAGAGCGCTCTGGATGGCCCAATTCTATATTCAAGCAAAACGTTATTGCAAAGGAAGCTATTTTGCCCCAACAATACGGTAGTTGACAAACTTCTCATAGAAAACCCTATGAAAGCAACGTTTTGGGTTTTTTGGGGTTTCTTTTTGCAAAATAGGATTAAGGATTATCATGGACAGACCTCATACAAATCGTGGTATACGTAGCTTCCGTATGCATGTTTGACACGTCAGAAACAGCATGATTCTTCCTGACTTGCCTTTGACTTTGTTGGTATTTGTCGGTCATTGGGCTATTTTTTTTTTAAAATAGGGGGGGGGGAGAGGGGAGGGGGGAGGGGGCGGAGGCCGTTGCACTCTTAGATCCACAATAAAAACGAACAAACCAGGCCAGAAATGGTGACATTGCTTGGTAGAAAAACCGATAAAACGTTTGAAATGTATGTGTCTTGAAATTTGCGTTGTCTTTCTTGAAAAAGCCAAATCCTTCTTATGTTATTCTTTCCACGAGACCGACAGGATTAATATAATCTAATGAATATATCGCTGGTGGAGTGATGAAACCTCGTAACCCCAGAAAGGAAAATTTTACAGGAGAGACAAAAAACTGATTTACTCTTGAATAAAATGA